TAGGCCCATATATGAAGTAATTGGGCACGGCTTTGCCCGTGTAAGGAATACTGGAACGGGAATTGACGGATTTGTTACGATGAAATGCTTGATTAAACGGGAATCGACCGATTTTTAACAATACAAAGCTTAATCTTTGCTCCAACACATAGGCAGATGTATTCAAAATAGCATAGCCATGCTTGATCCATGCTCGAACAATATTTTGAATACCTGTGTGTGTGTTCGAGCATGGCTATGATATTTTGGCTCGATGATATATGGATCGCACCTTAATTTCTGGATCTGAAGAGATGATAAAAAAAAATCCCGATATCAGGCCGCCCCTTGACACCGCTTGTCATCCTTCCGCATGGAGATACTTTATCATTCATTCTATTGCGGATGCATTATACATCCTGTTACAGGTCTCATCCCAGTCGTGGTTCATAATCGTCGCACGTTTGTATGTCTGCGCGTGCAGTGGTTAACTTTTTTTAAGGAGGGTTCTGCTTCTACATTGTTTTTTTATATCAAGAGATGATCAGTTTATCTTTGTTATTATTATACACGTGGGAGGGTGGAAATCAGAGCACCCGAGTTACTCCCGCAAATGACAAACGAGTCGCCCTCTGTTTTCTAACACCCCGCCCCCAACGCTGTCCTGTGATTGGAACCATTGGGCCAACGTTGAGCCAACGTTCCATGTTTACTGAGACATCACACACAAACAAAGATGCCCCGTATAGCCTTAGCAGACTGTCGGGACAAGTGCTGTTATCGAGCATCTATGAAGGCCGGCACGGCACACGAGGGGGGGGGGGAGGGAGGGTGGGCCAACCACCACGCCCGAGCCGCCTTTGTCTCCCCAGTGAACGATGTTTACACATCGCACCAGGTGCTCATTTGAGGCCAAGTCGACCTAGGGTAGGCCCTGGACTGGTTCAGATAATCGTCACCGGCGTTGGCCACGAACGGGAATCGAGCACGGGTCGCCTGGTTCATAGCGCGGCGTAGCGCTACCCGCTACCCTACGCCATCACGTACACACACACACGCGCGCACACACGATGTTTATGAATGGATCACCCTGTAAGTGTATGTAATTAGTACACGCGTTCACAACAGGAGTTTTTTTGTTCACAACTTGTGGCCGCAACGTCTAAAGACTTTCACGCAATCATTAACTACAAAGTAAATGCTTACTGCACGACAATTGACCTTGTTGGGAAATCTGCGGTCGCACAGCAGTTATCACTCTCCACCATAAACCTGGCGACCCGAGTTCGATTCCCAGCCACAGCTAACATCAGCTGGCGAGTGATATCCAAACCGGTCACGGAAACCTCCCCACCGATCCGCACTGCATGACCAGCGTGGTAAAGTATGGTCCAACAACCCCCCCCCCCCCACCGTGACAGACACGCCGTAGGGAGGCTTGTCATCCAGCAGTGGATCGACACAAGGCTTGTGCATTGTCAGTCGGCAGTGGGACTGACCAAGAGAGGCTATGGATGATCATGTATTTGCTTAGCAGAGGCTCAAGCAATGTCCAGCCTCTCCAAGGAGGGTCCCCCCCGTGATCAACACGATGTCGCGTAAACCCTGACACCAAGCGGCAAGCATCGTAAACGCCACCACCCTCAAAATACTGACACGTCCTGAATATTTAACACGCAGGGTTAAAGTTGGCACGTTCACAATATCAACTCTCGTTTGTTCAAACACTTCACCAAATGTCATTCACGACTTTTTTTGGTGCGGTCAATTATCTGGGGTTTTTTTTTTTTTGCCCCAAAACTTCTTACAAAATAATCATAATAATTTAGGGTCCATTGTCGATCCACTGCTGGGTGAAAGAAGCCACCACCTGTCATCATCATCGCCACTCCCTTGCCAGCATCAGTTCACAGATGTCACTCGCCACCGGTATTAGCCATGGCCAGGAATCAAATCCGGGTGGCCGGGCTTCGTAGCGCGTCGCGCTCGCCATTGCACGCTAACCGCTCCGAACTAACCGATGCACCCTCACCCCTGCGATTTAACCGCTGCACACTAAACCCTGCGAGTTAACTGCTACACCCTCACCCCTGCGATTTAACCGCTGCACACTAAACCCCGCGAGTTAACTGCTGCACACTAAACCCTGCGAGTTAACTGCTGCACACTAACCCCTGCGAGTTAACCGCTGCACACTAAACCCTGCGAGTTAACTGCTACACCCTCACCCCTGCGATTTAACCGCTGCACACTAAACCCTGCGAGTTAACTGCTAAACACTAAACCCTGCGAGTTAACCGCTGCACACTAACCCCTGCGAGTTAACCGCTGCACACTAAACCCTGCGAGTTAACTGCTACACACTAACCCCTGCGAGTTAACTGCTGCACACTAAACCCTGCGAGTTAACTGCTACACCCTAACCCCTGCGAGTTAACTGCTGCACACTAAACCCTGCGAGTTAACTGCTGCACACTAACCCCTGCGAGTTAACTACTGCACACTAAACCCTGCGAGTTAACTACTGCACACTAAACCCTGCGAGTTAACTGCTGCACACTAACCCCTGCGAGTTAACTACTGCACACTAAACCCTGCGAGTTAACTGCTACACACTAAACCCTGCGAGTTAACTGCTGCGCACTAAAACCCTGCGAGTTCACCACTCAAGCCGCATGGAACCCGTCGAAACGACGAGAACTCGTGCGGACGAGCGAGCAGGTGGACGGCGATCCCGCACAACAACGGGCGCGTCGCTAAAAATAGCGCCGACGACGGCGCCGGCCGTGAAAGTAATGGTCGGCGGAGGTCGCCGGATCGTTCCGATCACCCGGCGCGGCAGCTGGAAACAACGGTGGCAAGTTTATTAAATGCCCCCCCCCACCCCGCCCCCGGCCGCAATGCCCCCGCCCTCTGTCCACCCAGCAGGGTCAAGAGGTTTCACCCCTACGGACGGCGAGTCGATGGGCAGGTCGCGTTTGGTGGGGTCAATTGCGGTCGTGCCTAGATCTATAAAGCGCCTCAATGCAAGGCGCTTCACCACGATTATACACTTGCACGTGGGTTGATAGCGGTTGAAATAGTGGGGTCCAGTGCAGTGTACGGCCACTGTTGAAGAGTAGGCCAAAAATGAGCGAGGTTCATTGTCAACAGCTTAGGCTCACAGAACCAGAACAAGGTGCTGTTAGACATTAAGTGTTAACTCCACGTGTGGTAAGGTAGAGTGTGGATGGTGCTTGACAACTCTTTCGAGGCGTACCGACCGGCGTGGAAGAGTAGGCCAAAAACACCCTGTGGAGTAACAGCTCTCTAGAGCGTCCTCAAGCGGAGGCCCTTCTGCCAGCAGTGGCGTGAGCGAGCAGTTGCAGGGACTGCGCCTTCTACCCGGGGGGGGGGGGGGGGGGGTTAATTTTGACGTTCACTCCGTTTCATCATGGCCAGTCCTTTCAACAGTCGAGCAAAGGTCCGAGCCAGCAAGGCTTCGTGAGCAACTATGAAGCGCTACTTGGCGGAACGCGAAACATTACGCAAAGCTCCCCCGCATAGCCCGTAAACAAACTGTTGGGGCGAGGGCCGTTGGCGAGTGGCACCTATGAAGACCGGCACGGCACACGAGCGGCTGGGTGGCCAGCACCACGCCCGGGGCCGCCTTTGTATGTCTGGGCGTGCAGTGGCGATGTTTACACACCGCTACACCAGGTCACTCATTTGAGGCCGAGGCGAAGAGGCCCAGGACGGGTTCGGGCAATCGTCACCGGTGTTGGTCCGCGAGCGGGAATCAAACTCGGGTCGCCGGGTTTTTGTAGCGCAGTCGCGATCCAACCGCTCCCGCTAGACCACCGTCACCCCCACGCTGCCAGCATGCGCAGACTATTTTACTACGCGGGCGCTCGACACGGCGCTGCTTACACGGCCTGCGATCACTGCCAACGAGCAGGCTTTTCCAATGTACGCCGCATTCTCTCGATTATAAGACGCACTTGGTGTTCTGTATGTTAAGCGCAAAGCATGGAGGGGGTGGGGTGTCTTAGAACCAGGTAATGGGTGGGAGGCCACGTTTGTTTTAAGCGCTGCGAGCGAACTTTCTGACCCCGTAGGCCCCCCTTACTTAGACGTCTGTGGAAAAAAAGAGCTTCATAGCCCATTGGATTTCTTCCAGTCCAAATAAAGACTCTGCTTAAACTTTATTGATACAGGGCACAAGATTGGGGGGGGGGGGGGGCGGTGGGGGCTGCCTCACTCGACCCGGCATTTAATTCCACCTGGAATAGTCTGGAATTCTGTTCCGGGAGAAAAATAAAAAAAATTGGCACCTAGCCATATCCATCTTCGCCTTACTTTGCCCCAAACATGTTCGTAGGATTATAGGAATATTGGGTATAATAATAATACAGGATTACCATTTTTGTTATCGTAGACAGGCATATCTTGTATATTTAGTGGTAGTGGCTTATGCCGATAGTCCCCACTCCTCCAAGCTCGCTTAGCGCCGCGCCGGAAAACTATTTGGGGCCTGGTCTTACTCCCTTGGTTTCGTCGCATAATCCAGACACACTTATTTATTTTCGGTGGAGAAAAAAAAAGGCCAAACTTTTTCTCGCTCGGCCACGATTCTCGCATTCTCCACCCTCGGCCACAGCACGACGAGGGCCAGCGATCTATTAATAACATTCGTTGGCGTTTACTGAGCGAGAGCAATGCAAAAAAAAAACAACCTCACGTATGCAACAAAGCAACAATTTAGCGGGGTCGCGAAACAACGTTTCAAACATTAATTCGCGCTTTCGGCCCCCACTGGCGTGGGCATTGAAACACCTCCGATTGGCATCGGCTGTCTTACGTACGGTGCGAAAGAAGTTCAACGTACGTACGTAGCCAAACGGCCCCCCTCTCCCCGCCCCCGTCCCCGTTCGAAAGCCGGTCCTCAGTTGAACGTTGATAAGAACAACAGCAACAGCAGCAAAAAAATCAACGGGACGTTTTGCGCGCTTCGCGCGGAGCTTAACGAGACTGCTTCTCACCGAGATGAATGGCGAGGAGAAAGGGAGCTGCGATCGGTCCGTCCAGTTGTAGAGGAAGCGCGTGCGTGTGCGCGCGCGCGTTGTGTGTGCGCGCGTCCGTGCAGTGGCGAACTGCAGCTGTGAGAACCACTTTCCTTAAAAGTCCAGCGCGCTGCCCGCCGCTCGCATTCCTGACGATCCTCACCGCCCCCCCCCCCGTCTCCTCTCCCTCCCTCCCTCCCTCCTCCCTCTCCACCCAACTCCAACAGCCACCCACGCGACCCATTCGACCGCCGCCTACCCCCCCCCTCCGTCTCAACTCAACTACCGCTACTGTAGAAGCAGTAGTCGAGTTTATAAAAATTAAAATGTGCGTTAGTTCACCAGCACCCGTCGGCTCTCCGGACCAACATCATCGAGCGGGGAATTATTTTTGAAGCGAGAAAACTCTGCACCGATTTCCACCTCCTGCATCTCATCCGGTCGAGTCCGATTTGTTAAACAAATGTTGCCGAGTTACTGGATATTATTGGCAAGAGCACTCCGTCTCCCCGTATTTTATTTGCTCTATACCCATGATGCCCCACGGTGAGAGATGACGAACGTGTGTGCGGGCAAACGCCACCACGGAGGGATTTTTCTTTCTGCGGCTGTGCTGCTGTGTACCTCCCCCCCCCCCCCAATGCCGTATTCGGGTCGTGCGCGCGTGCTGTTCGGAACGATGTCCGACGTTTCGCCCCCCTCCCCCCATGCCGGCAGCTCCCACGCGGAAGGAAGCTGTGAATAGATGACGACACGTAACGGTGGCCGTGAAGGCACCGCGTGCGTGCCGGGGTGGCCTTTATCCAGCAGTGGATAGACCGTGCATCGCGCTCATGCAGAGATTCAAAGAATCCATCGCCGTGTTGCAATCTCTTGGTGACCTCACAGCCCGAGCTAGCGGTAACCGCGATTCATTCCGTGGGTAGTCTTCCGTCATCGTATTAACCAGGCTCAGACCTGCTTGGCTTTCGATGTCCGATCACAGTTCCCACTTGGAACCTGGGGCCTGATTATGGGCAAACGTTAAAACAAATCGACAAGATGCCTCCTCCGCACACTGGTGACGCTGATATGGGTGATTTGCACAGTAATAGAATTACAGGACCAGCGCAGACCATATTAGGCAATGTACACCCCCTTACATCTCTCGAGTGTGTGTGAGAAATTTTTTGCACGAAAATTACGGAGAGACGCACGCTTAGGAATGAGACTTGTAGCCAAAACGAGGAGGACCGTTGATGAGGAAACGCGCACAGGTTGAAGACGCTTACAAAAGACAAAGACCGATCCACACACACACATATATACACAGACAAAAGATCCACCCCAGTATAGCCTTTGCAAACCTTTAGGCCAAGTGCTCTAAGCGAGTAGCGCCTACGAAGGATGGTACGGTACAAGAGGGGGTGGGTGGCCAGCATCACGCCCTGGCCGCCTTTGTCTCCCGAGTGGCGATGTTTACACGTCGCACCAGGTACTCATGAGGCCGAGTCGACCTAGGGGAGACCCAGGATCGGTTCAGATAATCGTCACTGGTGCTGGTGGTCGTGAACGGGAAGCGAACTCGGGTGGCCGGGTTCGTAGAGCAGCGTGCTGTCGATCCAGACAAAAGACCTCCAGCTACAGCCGACAACAGACTGCTTTGAGAAGTTGATGTTCGTGAGCGCTGATCAAGACAACAACAACAACAACCGCCATTCACCACCAAGTGGCGGTAACATCGCCACGGCGCCAGTGCCAGGCTGGGTGCACCTGGCGTGAAGTGTCGAAGGCTCGCTGGTGGCACTGGGCAGGCCCCAGGTGTTCAGGCGTCGACCGACTGACAGCGAGCGCGCACACGGACAAAGTTCCATCCCCACGTACAGCCTTTAACCGACTGTTGGGGACAAACACGCTGCACAAGTGTCACCGTACGGAAACCCCACGATTTTATCCCCCCCCCCCATTCCAAACCCCACCCCCTCCTTCACTCCGGCTGTGTCGCAAAATTTGACGCAAAGAAATGTTCGCGAGCCCGGTCTCAGCTGTTCTTGTGGCGCCCCCCATGTCCCGCCGAGTCACCCCATGGCAGACAGCTGCCACCCGCCACGACCAAAGGCAAAGGCCCCCCGTGTAGCCTCAACGGGCTGTTGGGGCAAGTGCCGGCACGGCAAACGAGGGGGTGGGTGGCCAGCGCCACGCCCGGCCGCCTTGGTCTCCCTAACATACACCACACCAGGTATTGAGTGGACCGAGGGGAAGCCCAGGACCGGTTCAGATAATCGCCACTGGTGTTGGCCATGAGCGGGAATTGAACTCGGGTCGCCGGGTTCGTAGCGTAGCGCAGCGCGCCGACCGCTACACCACCGCTTTCCTCAAGACCACCGTCACCGCCACCACCCCCAACACCTACCCTGTCCAGTTTCCATGCAGTCTCTCCTCTCTCGCTCGCTCGCTCTCCCCGGCTGGAACTCTCCGACATTCACGGACCAAGGCGTTCAAGGGCGGAAAACAAACGTGGGCAACTAAATAGCTCGACTGTTTTCCCGTTGTTCGTGAAGCGTAAAGTATCACCGGCTTACTCGGGGCGCGGGTAGGGGAGGGGGGTGGGGTCGCTGCCACGGTTGGTGATAGCTGTCGGCACAATTGGGCTCGCAAGCCAGAGGTCGTCGGTTCTACCCCATCTCCCGGGCGAGGCAGCTTGGAGCGATCGAATCGAAAACGACATCACGAGCGGGTTTTGGTCTTCATGTGCCGTCCTCACGGTGCGAAGAAGGAGGCCGTCAGGAAGGCGCTGTAGGTCTTGCCCGTCAGGGCCGGTGCTGATTTTGGTGTTGTATCCAATAAAGTAATTCGCGGGTAAGTTTCCGAATTCGGTTCGGTTTCGACCGTGATGACCGCCGTGGCAAATCAATCCCCATGACGGACACGGTCTGGGGAGACCCTCATCCAGCAGTGGATAGACCCACGGCTCACCGCCGTGATGATGGCACACGCAGGCTTCAATCGAGCAGAGGATAGATCCATGGCTCTAGATGATAGGGCCGAGACCTTCATCCAACGAGGGTCAGGCTCGCTTCGATGCGAGCGAGCTGGACTGTGCTGATGAGGCAATGTGTGTCGAAGCCCGTCCCAGAGTTTTTGCTTCACGTGAAATCGATGCTGCTGAAATTATGCACTCCCAGAAGACCGTGCGTGCAATGGGTTGTGCAAGAAATATTCATATTCTGTATATTTAATTTTTTATGTCATCCGGCTTATTTATCGAGCAATTATTTTTTTATATACATATCCTCCGCCGATGATTTTTCTTCGAGTGACGAATATCAAAAAAGAACAACTTCACTGCTCACAATTTTTTTTTTAATCACCTTCCCACGGCAAAAGCGAGACGCACGCGCGCTCAATGCGCGTGCGTCTCGCGTGCGTTTTGAGTACGTTCGCTCGCTCGCTCTCGTAACTCAACACCCCCACCCCACCACCGCCCCTCCCTCCCCCCCATTGGCTGCCCTCAGCTGCCCCCCCCCCCCAAAAAAAAAGCCCGCAGCGAGCACAGTTGCACGTGTCTCGTGTTTACTTTGGGTGGCCGTGGTGGGGGGGGGGGGGGGACGCGGCACCCCCCACGAATTTCTCCGCACAGAAACCCAGCTGACTCCAGGCAGAACCCCCTCCTACCCCCATCCCTTCACCCTAAACTAGTTTATTTTTTTATTTTACCAGGTAAGGCCCCCACTGAGCTGCCACACATTAGAACCCCTGTTAACGACTAAAAGCTCAACGACGTGCTTCCATAGAGCCCCGTGTGTAGTGTATAGTGTAGTGTATGGTAGTATAGTGTAGTGTAGAGTGTAGTGTAAAGTGTAGAGTAGAACCCCTGTTGACGACTAATCGCTTCACGACGGGCCTCCATAGTGACCAATGTATAGTGTAGTGTATAGTGTAGTGTATAGTAGTGTAGTGTATAGAGTGTAGTGTATAGAGTGTAGTGTATAGCAGATCCCTCTTAAGGACCACCCCTGTTAGTGACTAATCGTTTCACGACGGGCCTCCATAGAGCCCAATGTGTAATGTACAGTGTCGTGTATAGTAGTGTAGTAGTGTATAGTGTAGTGTATAGCAGTGTATATTGTAGTGTAGAGTAAATCCCCTCTTAACGACCACCCCTGTTAACGACTATAGTTTAATAAATGCCACAGTCGAAGCAACTGTCCACCCAGCGGTGTAAACGAGTTCGCCGCGGTGAGTGGATCGGCAGGTGACGTCCAGTGGGCTCATCCAGCAGCGGATTGGCCAAGACCGACGGTGACATTTCTTTTTCTAAAAAATCCGGCCGGAAGCAATGGCAAAGCACAATCAGAAATACAAAAGTAAAAAGTTAAGTTACAGACACACGGGCGAAGGAACAAACGAACGAACGCAAGCGGTCAGGCGCTCACTCTTACGCCCACGCACTCGCATTCTAACACCGCTCTAATAGCGCTGGTACGCAGCTGAACGCTACCTTTTTTTCTTGGGCCCAAGCATTTATTTTAGTTCTTTATTTTTTTTAAAGTATTTAATTGCAAATGCCCGCGCAACAAAGATTTTTACGCACATCTGGGCATTCGTTGCGGGGGAGCTGTGTGCCGAGTATTTTTTTTCCGGAGCCACCGAGTTATGAATTTCGGCGTTTGCCGCTTGGGGTACGCGTAAAATGCCCCGGGGTGAATGGACGCACGGATGGATGAGCCCCGTTTTGCCGGGCACAGCAAATAACGAACCGGCTAAAGCTTGTCACCGTTGTGCTGCACTGTTTAAAATTACCAGGTAAAGCCCGCTGACGTATTAACTCTTGTACAGAGGCGACCTCGTCACGCATGACGATGGCTCATCAAAGTCGCCCTTCGTCATTACACGTGGTAATTCATAGTAGCAGCCAAATTATCTGAACGCACGTTGTTTCTAAATGTGGAGGGGGGGGGGAACTGGAGGATCCGGAGAAAAATCCACACGACCACGGGGAGAGGGAACATGCAAACTGTACGAGTCAGGGTCGGGGGATTGAACCCATGCATCCCATATACCAGGCAAGAGAGTTGCCATCACGCCACCGTGGAACCCCGATACACATTATACCACCACCCCCCACCCCACGGCGAATAC